AGTCCCGGGGTGGCCGTACATAACAACGGACCATCGGGCTCAATTAAAAATATTGAGCACCGCCCTTCGAAATTACTTAGGGACTTAGTATAAAGAGTTGGAGAAAATATTTTAGTACTTTACTCGTAAGAGTTGTTAAAGTACTTATTTGGAGAAATACTATTTGGTTTAATGAAATTTAAAGTTTTGAAGACTATTTATTTAAGGAAATGGTATTTTCACTCTACTATGTGAATTACTTCTTGTTCATAAATGTATTTTGAGAAATGATGTATTTATCTCCTATTTTGAGAAATGAGGTATTTATAGTTTTTGAATTATTATTTTAATTAAAAATGTAATTTCGAATTATACAAGTTTATTTTGAGTTATAATTGTTATTTGAATAATAAAATTATTTATGGATTCCCGAAGTACGAATACTTTTGGATTTGATTTGGATTGATTATGTTGAATATTGTTCACAAGAAGTTATAAGTATTTTAAGATGAATATTGGTGATTGATTTATACTTTGGAATAATTATGAGAATATTTGGTGGTTTATGTACATTGGTATTTTGGAATTTTATGGTTTGAAATAAGTAATTATATTTGAAATATTAATATTTTACATATGAATTGTGTTATGAGAATATTTTGTATATGTTGTTTTACTTATGATTTATATAAAATGTTTTGAAAAAGTTTTCATCCAAGATGTTTTACAAAAATGTATCAAACGTGATTATTTTACGGGGTTGGGTGGGACTTACTAGCATTTCCGGCTAATTTTGTTTGTTTGTGTTTTTCTTTCTGTACTTGATTTTGTACAGGTGTTGAGTTGATCCTATTGAAATTGATTTCGAGAGAGCTTCCGCTAGAAAACATAAATAGTAAATAATTGTATATTTTAATTTCATGAACTCTAGTTAATTAATATTATTTTGAGTTAAAATTATTTGAGAGGTGGTTAGCCTGTGCACTCGGTTAGGTTGGAACTGAGTGTGGCGGTAACGCCCTATTTCCCTTTGTTTTTCCGTTGCAAAATTCTGATAATTTTAAATAAACTTGTATTCCTTACCAACAAGTTATCATTTGAATTATTATTTTGGGTGGGAAATTTGGGGGTGTTACATGGGTGATGAGCTCCCTTAAAAGGAGATGCATCTTGTTGGTATGAGTAATACAATCACCCCCACTTAGGACTGCAACGTCCTCGTTGCGCCCATAAATTAATCTCAATCAAATCCCAGAATCTTGCCCCGCTAAGGGCCCACCCGATATCCAACGGGTCAGCACACTGTCGCAGGGTTGCTCTGATACCATTTGTAACACTTGGCCCCGTTGGCCCCGGGGTATTTACTTCTGACCTCTATTACTGTCCTCACGAACCGCCATTAGCCTTTTCCGCGCACTTTGTCCTCACTCGTGAGTGCCCTGAAAACTTTCCAGGGGATCACCCATCCCAAGACTACTCCCGTGCAAGCACGCTTACCTTTGGAGTTCTTGGGTGATGAACTCCCTTAAAAGGAGATGCATCTTGTTGGTATGAGTAGTACTATTAATTCATTTAAATTAAATCTCAAGTGTTAGAAGTTGGTTGTGGTCGGAGTCACCCGGTTATCCATGGAGGTCAGGAGTTCAATTCCCTCCGGGAGCAGTTTGACCTCTTGTATCCCTCCCTCGGGATCCGCCAACCCCCTCCCCCTGACCCCAGCCCCCCCCCCCCCCCAAAAAAAAATACTACGTATGTAACTTTTTATTCAAAGTTCATGTAATTATCGGTTTATAGTGTGTCCCCTTATAATCTTACCATTTTTCTATTTTTGAATGCCTCATATAATCATATTATTATCTCGTATCATATTTGGTAACATTTGTTTGAATTAATTCATTTTTACTTTATTCTCACTTTATCAACTCATTAGCAACAAAATAATTTCATTTTTCTTAAAAACTGCATCACTGTCTTTCGTCCCAATATTAGGGGGACGGGGTAGTAGCATGTAGTGTTATATAGTAGGGGTGGACATTTCGGTTTTCGGTTCGGTTTTCTTCGGTTTCGGTTCGATTTCGGTTTAATTGGTTTGATAGAAAATGTATCAAATACAAACCGATTAAGTTTTGGTTTGGTTTCGGTTTGGTATGGTTCGGTTCGGTTTGGAGTTCGGTTTACCAAAGTATTAAGGTTTGGATTGAAATAAAAAAACTAACTCAAAATAATGAACCAAGAAGCGATAGTAATGAACCAAATATAATGTTAGATATAAATTTGCAAACAGTAACAAAACACATATGAACCAAAAATATATAACTATATAAGAATGACACATTTGTAAGCAACAACAACAACGGGAATGAATCAAATTACCGAAACAAAAACAAAAATGGTGCTTGTAAGTAATGAACCAAATATACAGTAATAGTAGATACTAAATTATAGCTAAATACTATCTACTTAAACCACTATAATTGTTATAGTCGTGATGTAACTCTTGTAGTAAACTCTAGTCCTGGACACTAAAATTAAAGAATTAAAGCTTCAAAAAGATTAAAATCAATCAAATTAATGAGAGAAGTCTTATATTTTAGTTTGGTTTAGTTTGGTGTAAGTTGGTTTTGATTTGTTATTTAAAAAAAAATAAGAAATTATTTCATTTTTAGATTAGTTCGGTTTCATTCGGTTTTATTCGGTTTTATGCTTTCGGTTCGGTTTGGTTTGGTTCGATTTAATACGGGTTGGGAGGAATACTACCAAACTCAAACCAAATTACAAATGATTCGATTTCGGTTTGGTTTAATTCGGTTTGGTACGGTTCGGTTCGGTCAAACCGAACCGTTATGCCAACCCCTATTATATAGTATCCAAATTAATAGTAGGTGAGTATCTTAACCCAATCAGTAGATAATTTGAGATCGCACCCAATTACTTCCATATTGAAGTCTCCATCATATACTTTCTTTATGTTAGGGTTTGCACCATCACGTAGATAGCAATGATTTGAAAAGTGAAGCTTAATTATTAGTAAAAATGATGTGCCAAACCAAATTTGTTCTTTATGCAGGTTGTCTTCCAAGTTGTTTCACGTCTAACGACTTAAATAGTGTGATTTTACATAGCTTGTTTAGTTGTAGGTCAGATCCTCACAGGCTCATATATAAGTAGCGGTGGACAGGATTCCGGTTCAAAAATATAAACGACACTTCATGAACCGGAACGGCAAATAAGAGCATCAAAATGAAACACAGTAGCCCGCTTGGTAAGATGTGTGTAAAATTGTGTTTAATAGTGAATTGTGTACAACAAGAATTGGTGTATAAATAAATATTAGTCCGCTTATATTATACCTACAGCACTACATATGAGTGAGAAGAATATTCCTAAAATCACTGCATATGAGTGAGAAAAATATTATTAGTCCGGATTATTTGCAAGCTTATCTTCTTTGTATTATTATACCTAAAAGCACTACATATGAGTGAGAAAAATATTCTACTCAATTGTTAGTCAACTTATCTTATACTTAAAAGCACTACATGTCTTCTGATACTAATACCTAAAACATTACATATGAGAGAGAAATTTTTTCTACTCAATTGTTAGTCGGCTTATCATCTTCTTATTATACCTAAAAACACTACATATGAGAGAGAAAATTCTTCCCTTTAATTGTTAGCCGACTTATCATATATTAAAAAGAACTACATGTGAGAGAGAAAGCTTTCACGCACAACTATTAGCAAGCTTATCTTGTAAGACCTAAAAGTACTACGTATGAGAGAAAAATTTCTCCGCTCAATTGTTAGTCAATTTATCTTCTAATACCTAAAAGCACTACATATGACAGGGAAAATTCTTTCGCTCAATTGTTAGCCGACTTATCTTATACTTAAAAGAACTGTTTATGAGAGATCAAGTTCTCCCACTCAATTGTTAGCAAATTTATCTTGTGATACCTAAAAGCGCTACATGTGAGAAAGAAAATTTTTCCATTTAATTGTTAGTTGACTTATCTTATCTAAAAGCACTACATATGAGAGAGAAAGTTCTTTCCCTCAATTGTTTACCGACTTATCTTATACTTAGAAGACTACTTATGAGAGAGAAAGATTTCATGCTTAATTGTTAGCAAACTCATCTTATAATACCCCAAAAGTACTACATATGAGAGAGAGAATTTACAATGACAATACTAACATTTATGAAATTTGATTTTTTTAAAAAAATTAGAGAAACAATGAAAACATTAATAAACCTTCATACATTTTTTAAATTTTATATATTGAATATTGATGTCATATGAAAGATTGTTAAAAATAATGAATTTTGATATACTTTTTATATCATGAATTATTTTCTCTATTTAATACGGAACATTCTGTATTGAGGTTGGAAAATATGAAGATTGTTTAATAATCCTTCATTTTTTCTTAAATTTTATATATCCAATGATGGTGTCATATGAAAGATCGTAAAAAAATAAGGGTTTTGATATAGTTTTTATAAAAAATTAGATAAATGCTAAAAAAGTTATAACACTTGGAAAAAATCTAATACATATTTTCTAATGGGGATACTCTAATATCCTAATAAGCATAGCATCATCAAAATCTAAATACAATTATTCCTTACAAATTTTATATATGCATTATTGGTGTCATATGAAAGATTGTAAAAGATGATGAATTTTGGTATGTGTTTTATAAAAATCAGAGAAAAACTGAAAAAGTTATAACTCTTTCAAGAAAATAGAATTTTTTTATACAATGAGCCCCATTAATTAATTGATCCCACGTTTTTTGTTCAAATAGGAATTCAAAGAGAAAGCCACGTCAGTTAATTTTGGTGAGTTAGTTTAGAATGTTATGTGTCATTTTTATAGGAAATGAGCAAATTGTGGAGTGATGGACACATATGACTCATTAAGCACATAATTGTATTTTAATGGCTATTTCTTTTCTTATATATAAATAGATAGATACATTTCTCCATAATTACATGAATAATATACAAATTATGTGCCAACTAAATGTGCCCACTAAATATTATGTCCCAACATATACGGAGTTTAGTCTTATTAAGTTCCACTTCTTAATCTCAATTCCAAATTAAACTTTCTATCCGGCTGGCCTATATATTAACCCTTTCAGGCCTTAAATTTTTTACAGATTTTTCCACACCCTGTACAAGAAGCAAATTACGGTTTCGATCTCCGGCCATGAATATGTTCTCAGCCGGGTTCTTTTTCATTCTTTTAATGATTCCGGTCCTACTTGTCTCCGCCGCCGAAGACTGCAGTGATGACTCCGGTTAGGACGGACGGGACCGGGTCGAGGCCTCGAAGTTGAAGGCCATATATAGCGGCTATTGCCATTCTTGTAGCCGGATTTCTGGGCGTCACTTCCCGAACATGGGGAAGTACTTCCAGATGTTCCACCCGGACAGCAACTTGTTCTTCCTCGTGAAGGCGTTTGCCGCTGGCGTGATCTTAGCCACCGGTTTCATCCACGTGCTCTCGGGCGCTTTCGAGACCCTCGGCAGCCCTTGCCTGCCGGAGAAGCCCTTGAGCAAATTCCCCTTCCCTGCCTTCGTGGCGATGGTGGCCGCCTTATGCACGATGATGGTGGACTTGTTCGCGATGAGCTATTTCCGGAAAGCCCAATTGGACAAGCCCAAGCCCGTTGACGAAGAAAGCCCGGCCCAGGCTTATGCGCAAGTGCCCATTCACACGCACGCGACCCATGGGCATGCTCACGGTTCGGTTGAGCCTTACAGCGGCTCTAATCTAACACAACGGTGCGTCATCTCACCGGTATCTTTTTTACGAATTGAAATCTTTCGATACTTAATAACGATAAAATTATTAAAAACTGGATCCGTACTTATTTATACAAAGTATTCTATACATAACTTAATTATTCTCCGTAGTTAATTTAACATTGCATCAATAAATCAACTAGTGTAAAACCCGGGTATGCTCAGGTAGTTAGTGTCATGTTAATATGAATTATAATGATATACGAGTATATTAATAGAAGTTTCGAATTATTTAAGAATTTGAGATTTATACCCGAAATATAACTAAAACAATTTGAAAATTCCAAAATAGGATTGTCATGTTTTTTATTCCAAAATAGGACTAATTACTGTTATATTTTGGCAGTACCAGACTTTAAACATGACAATATTTTCTAAACATGACAGTAATTAGTCCTATTTTGGGAACAAAAAACATGACAATCCTATTTCGGAATTTTCAAAATGTTTTAGTCCTATTTCGGGAATTAAAAACAAATATGACACTTGATTGTTGAAAAACATGACCGAAACTTGACTCTATTCATATCATAAGTTTGAGGATCATTACATCACTCAAAGGAAAAACAAAAAAAAAACAAATATGACACTTGATTGTGGAAAAGCCATTAATGACTTTTATTATAATTTATTTAAAAAGTCTAATATTTACATTCTTAGACCAAGTTTGATGACAAACGTTACGTTATTCCAATAAGTGACCAACTTTGCACACAAAGACCATGTTTGCCTTTTACTCGAGATTCTTTCGATGCAAGTGCACAATGGGAGAAGGGTGAGGAACCACCACCGTATTCGATTTTTGGAGTATGCTTATGTGATTGTGGTTTATAAAATAATTGTAGGCATACTTGATTATTTATAGGGTCAGTGATGGAAGATGAAGGAAGTGGAAGTTTGAAGATAATCCCATTTTATCGGTTATATTGTTGGAAGTCCGTCGATTGTATTATCTAGACGTGAAAGTGATTTATATTATTATTGGTATTATCTTGTGTATTATCTATGATTTAATTGTGGTAGGTACTAGGTAGGGGTGGGATTGGCCCAATCTGAAAATTAGGGACCAAAACAAAGCTCATTATATTCATTGTAATATAATGAATACTCCGTATTATATTAACACATTTTTAAAGCTTAAACGTGAAAGGATCTCATTGTTCTTTTATAAAACCTATTTTCAAATATGATTTATTAAAAATGCAAACCGCAAATAATAACACAATTATTAGTCTCCAAAATCACTAACAATTCAAATCCAAAGAAGATAATTATCTTAATATTTTGTTTAAGATGCATATAAAATAATGTAGGTTTTCTAGAAATATTACGAAATAAAACTTGTGGATAAAAAATGACTAAAGTTACTATAAATATTTTTTCATGTTCATTACGGTAAACACATTGAATATATTTATAGTCACTAAAAATTACTAAGTCATATTTTCATGCACCACGATTATAATCATATATCAGGAATTAAATATAAATTGTATTCGTATATTATATTAATTTAATGTTAAATCTATTTTTTTGGGGGTTTTTATCGGTCCGGGACAGGTTATAGATTCTAGGGCCCGTTAATGAGCACGAAATTTTGAGTTCGGTTTGGGTTTTTTATTCAGGCCAGTTAAAAAGAAAAAAAAAACAGATCAAAATCATAATTGATGTAATAATTTCGTATTCAATTAGAGTATTAGGTAACATCTTAATGGTAACGTAATTTCGAACACCCAAATTTATTTGCGAAATCCGTTACTACGGATTGAGCCAGAGTCGGTTTTTGAGTTTCGGTTTCATTTTCCCCACCTTAATCGTAAGAGATCTCCTACGTATTAATTAATAGTTTATTAGTATTATCTCCTATGTATTAAATAATAGTTTATTGGTATTATCTCATGTGTATTTGATGGAGTATATGGGTCCAGGCCCCAGGACCCACATACTCAGAAGAACAGAAAGCACAGCCACCCTGTGGTGCCCTCGTCGGCCAGAAGACTCTCGACGGCCAGAGAGGGACCAACTCAGAATATGGCCCTGAAGCCAGGGAACCAGGGGGCCTCGTCAGCCGCGCCCTCGTCGGCCGCGCCCTCGTCGGCCACGGAAGTCTTACAAAACCGGACTTTACACTTATTCATTTGTATAGCCCATTAGTGGCTTTGTATTCGGCCCAATAGCGGTCCAGTTGTAAATGGGCCTCCCAAGCCCAAGCCTTGGGAGTCCAGCCCGTATTTTCCCTATAAATACTTCCTCTAGAGGTAGTTATTAGGGTTACAAAATCATTCTATTGAAGCATATATTGCACTTCTCTCTCTAGCTCTCACTTCTCTCTAGACAATTACTCTATCATTTGGTGCTCTCGTTGAGAGCTAGAACAATCAAGTTAGCACCTTTCGTCGCTACCAAGCACAGCTAACCACTGATCATGGGAAGAACTAAATCAAACCGCAACCTCGTCAGTAAGGCCATCCCTGAGGACCAGGAGGCCAGGGAGCACGAGGAGGATGCTACGGCCGACCAGGTCGGCGGAGGGGACGTCTTCCAGGAGGCCATCAACCTCACGACGGACCTCCGCAACCAACTCAACGACAGAGCCCCTGATGCCCGCATCGGCTTGGACAAGAAACGAGCTGAGAAGACAGACCACGCCCCGGCCCAACCTATGGCCGCGGCCTCTCCGTCTGTGGATCCACAGGTCCAGGCCGCGCTGTCGGTCATCATCGCCAGCTTGGCCCAGAACCCCACCGTTCTCAGCGCTCTCTTGCCAAGGACCGGGCGGAACGTCACTCCACCTCCTCAGCCCCAACCGTTGGCCGTCCAGATAGGCAACGATGAGGGTGTGATGGCCCAGGACACGACGTCGTCCCACTCCCACCCCGCTTCCCCCCTTCGGTCTGGGCAGACCCCAGCGCGTGGAAAAGCCTCTGCCTTCAATAGGCCAGGTGACACGCGCCGTCGTCCGGTTTCGGAGAGGATGGCAGGGCGGATTGGTGAGCGTCGGCCTGGCTCGCCAAGGGAAAGTTTGGGGTCTGTGTCCCGGACAGCGGACCAGCCCCGCCTGGACAAGGGCAAGGGGAAGTTGCACGAGGACGACGTGCGCCACCAGATCAATGCGGCCCACGACGAGCGCATGAAAAACCAGCAGGGCGCCGCTGCGGCCGCCAGGGACCCCCGGGACGGGGTCATCGCCCAGCTGGAAAGGAGGCTGGCTCAGATGGAGGCCAGGCAATCGGCCAACACCCCCACGGCTGGCGCCTCCAACGGCCCCGGCCTCAACGCGCTCATGAACAAGGTCAGCGCCCTGGAGAGGGAATTAGCCGAAGGGCGAGGTGACCCCATCATCCAGGTCAGGACCAGGACCCCCTTCACCAACAGGGTGCTCTCGGCCCCCATCCCGGAGAAGTACAAGGGAAACGCCATCAAGTCCTATGATGGCCGATCAGACCCCCAGGAACACTTCAGCCGTTATCAGAACAACATGCTAATGGTGAACGCGTCAGACGAATACCTCTGCCGTTGGTTCCTCTCTACTCTTGAGGGGTCAGCGTACGAGTGGTTCAACGCGCTCCCCGAAGGGAGCATTGACTCACGACAAGACCTTGCACAACGCTTCCTCACCCACTTTGCCGGGAGGAAGCGCGCAAAGAAGTATTTCACCCATCTCCTCTCCGTCAAGCAGCAACATGACGAGTCCCTCCGGTCGTTCATCGATCGGTGGACGAGGGAGACCGAGGAAGTCGAGGGGGCCGATGAGCGCACCCTCCTCGTCCTGTACTAGGGAGCCCTCCGCAGCTCCCCGTACGCCAGGAGCCTCATCACCGATCCTCCAAGGTCGTATGCAAAGGCGCTCCAGCGCTGAAGCTTGTACGCCGACGCCAACGAGCTCCACAACCACAAGAAAGAGGGAGGCCATCCCTCCAAGAAGACAAATCCTTCGCCGGCCCCGGGTCCGTCCCCGGCCGGCCAGGGTGCCCAGGGCCGACACGGCTCTGGTGGACAAAGTAAGAAAGACCGCCACTGGCGGCCGAGGTTGGAACGGCCGGGGGTTGCCCTCACTCACCCGGTCGGCACCATCCTCGACTATGTCGAGAAGCACGGCCTCATCGAGCAGGCTCCTTGGCCGGCCGAGGAGGTCCTTGCCATCCAGCAGGGCGGCACATACTGCCGGTTTCACAAGAACTCCTCGCACAACACCGACGACTGCATCACGCTGAAGAAAGCCATCGAGCGCCTTATTCGTCAGGGGGAACTCTCCCAGTTTGTTAAAGGTGGCCCACGCAAAAATACTTGGGTAAACACCGGCAAACCAGGGGGCGAACCCTCTGCGAAGAAGCGGGAGATCGGCAGGCTCAGCGACGACGAGGACTTCGAAGAGCCCCTGCCGAAGAAGAACCACATTCACCTCATTGTGGGTGGGAACTCTGGGGGGGACTCCGCCACCCAGAGGAAGAAATGGGCCTAGTCCCTCTACATAGGGGAGGTGTCCCACGTTCCCCCCCCCAGCCGAAGAAGCAGTGAACGGAGGCGGTCACCTTCACCGACAAGGATCTCCCTCCGGGTACGGAATCGCACAGGGATGCCCTCGTCATCCGGTGTGAGATCTGTGACACCATCATCCACCGCACTTACATCGATACGGGGAGCCCCGTCAACGTGATGTACCTGAACACCTTCAGACAACTGAAGCTGGACAAAGCTCTGCTGAAGCCAATCAAGACACCGTTATCCGGCTTCACCGGGAACTCTATCGACGCCGAGGGCACGATAGTCCTCCCCGTTGAGGTTGGTGACGGCCCCCACCGCGCCAAAATTGACATGGAGTTCATGGTGGTCAACCTCCAGTGCGCCCACAACCTGATCTTGGGCCGGCCAGCACTGGAGGACTTGGAAGCCATCATCTCCATGAAGCACTTATGTCTGAAGTTCCCCACCAATGACGGCATCGGCTACGCCAGTGGAAATCAGAGGATAGCCAGGGC